GCCGACGCCCTTTGTGTATGAAAAACCTGGCGTGCGCACCAGGAGCCTAAATACCAATTAGCCCGGCAGTACCGCCACCAGAAAGCGGAAGGAGGGGCAAAAGATGCATTCACGAACCCCACCCCGGGTGGGAAATCACAGCGACCACAAAGATACCCTTCCAACAAAACCACCCGGTTACACTTAGAACCTTCTTAAGAGCCAATAGTGCAAAATGCAAATACTTGCACTTTTTTGACTGGTCTTAAGATTTTGATCAGGAGTGTATACCATGCAATTCTAGAATAAAAAAGCAAGATTAATTGTGTTTATGTTGAAATGGCTATGACTGCATTTTTCCCATCATGTGCTTCTTTGTGTTCAGTTCTGGTTTYAGTGCAAGAATAAAGCATTTTGGTGCAAATATGCAAAAGAGAATCCCATAACTCGATGTCAGAATGGCAAAAACTGTATCTCCACTGCAACTGTGAATTTCCCTGGTGAGCTCACATATGCTGGGATGAAGGTGATCCACACTGCACAAAATATCAACATGCTAAATGTGATATATTTGGCTTCGTTGAAGCTATCTGGCAACTTTCTGGCCAAAAAAGCAAGTACAAAACATAACAAAGCGAGAAATCCAATGTATCCTAGAACAGCCCAGAAGCCAATAGGTGATCCCAGAGCACATTCAAAAATAATTTTCTCCATATAATAATTCATATTTTTGAAGGGGAATGGAGGATTTATTGTTAACCACAGAGAACAAATTATGACCTGTATGAAAGTGAAAGACAAAACAGCGAGTCTTTGTTGTGAAGGCCCAAACCATTTCATCACATTGTTGCCTGGGAGTGTAGCTTTAAAGGCCATTAAAACAACTATTGTTTTCCCTAGAATACAAGAGATGCAGAGGACAAAGGTGATGCCAAACAGCGTGTGTCGCAGCATGCAGGACCACTCAGTGGGCTGGCCAATGAAGGTCAGAGAACASAGAAAACACATGGACAACGAGAAGAGCAACAAGAAGCTCAGCTCAGAGTTGTTTGCTTTTACAAGTGGAGTGTCTTTATAGATCAGAAMTAGTGTTGCCACTATTATTGTCAGAAGCACACCAAGCAAAGTGAAAAAAACAAGTATTTTGCCCATAACCTCACTGAAGGAGAGAAAGTCAATAATTTTAGGTACACATGCATCTCTGTTATGATTGGGCCAATATGCTTCAGGACACTTTTTGCAGTCAATAGAATCTGTAATAAAAAATAAGATTATTRCAATTTCACTTATCACATCCTGATAATGTTTATAAGGGAGCGCATCATAGCACATTTGAATATGATACACATACAGTAGCAAGCAAACAGTGTATGCAAATGGTCATAATTCCGATGAGTGGTACCTGTGGTGTTGCTAATTTCCCCAACTGGACATGGGACACAGTCATAGCAGCAAACAGGCTTTCCTTTTAGAAGGACTTTATGAGCTCCGGGCCGGCAGCTTTCACTGCATACTGAAACAGGCAACTTCATTTCAAATAAGTGAAAACATACATATCGTCAGTATTTTTTTTTTTGGCAGACGTTTAAACACAATTATTATCAGAATTGTTCTGCTAGCTTTTAGGGTCAGTTACAATCTTTACCTCCTTGCTTCCTCCAGGCCAAATTATTGCATTTGTATCAAGAACAAACATCTGCCCAAGAGGAAGAGAAGCATCATAGTAGCCAACTGGTTTAAACTGAACGAATCCATCTGATACATGCTGCCAGTTCACCACTTCATACTTTGCAGCTACCGCTCCTGTGTGGTCAAACCACACATGGTCCCCATTACTTAAAGTGAAATTCACCTGCTTTAGAGCTTCTACTATCTGAAACACAGTAAATGTTAATGTCTGTCAGTATTAACATCAACATGAGTTAAAAAAACTACAAACAAAACTGTATAGTTATTAGTTTTACCTCCCAAGGCTTGACCTCTGTAGACTTTGTACATCCTTTACTGTCAGAACACTTGAGGATGCTGTGCAGAGAATGAGCTACTGCATAGATGGCTTTGTAAATATTGCTAGAGTATCTCAGCTCTGCCACATCATCATCATAATCTCTCAAAGCAGTTAAATCCTGGTTTTCTTTGCAAGAGTTAAGAATACTCCCTATGTTTGTCTCATTGCATTGAAACTCTGTTTCCCAAAAGTCTTTAACTAGAAAATCCTCAAGACCACTTATATTGGCTTTTTGTACAGCAAAGCCTAATGAACCTCCCAGCACACTAAAGCTTGTAGGTGTAACAAGACTGTCAGCAGTGATCCAGGCCTCCACACCAATGAACTGTTGACCTGTGATGTTACGCAGACTCAGCTGCTCTAGCAGGTTGTTCATTTCCACATGGGCAAGAAAGGCAACAATGACCCGAGTGGTGCTCTTTTGGATCACATCTACAACTCTGAGGAGTTTTTCGGGCTCATCTCTGTTGAATTTCTCTGTGTACTCCACACACACTCCTTCCACCTGGGCTGCAGCAAGGAAGATTGCCATTCCATTGTTGCCATAGTCACTGTCGCTGTTGACTGCTCCGACCCAGGTCCAGCCAAAGTGTTTGACCAGCTGAGCAAGGGCACGACTTTGATAAAGGTCACTTGCAATAGTTCGATAGAATGARGGATACTCCTTTCTGTTGCTCAAACACTCACAAGTAGCTGAATGACTTATCTGTCAGCACAAAACAGAAAATTACAAGTTGAATAAGAAAATGGCTTTACATTTGATAAAACTTTGATGGATTTGGCATATCTCTCACCACTGGTATTTTAAATGGTCCAGTAGTCTGTGAAAGCACAATGGTTGAAGAAGACTCAGACTCCCCAATAATAGTGTGAACAGATGATTGGCCAGAGCAGCTATTGCCCAATGTCCACTCATTACTATTCAATAGAGCCATCACTGCACGCATTGAGGTTAATGTTGAGCCACAGTTGTCATAAATCTGATAACCAATGGAAACATTGGGTAGAAGAGCTTTACTTTTATTTATTTCTGCAATAGCAAATATCATGGTCTGGGCAAATCGAAACTCTCTTAGATTAACACTGGAACAAAAATAGTAGAACATAAATTTACAATAACTACTGCAAAAAAAAATAGATGTGACAGTTCTTTGTATAAGGCTCAACATTACCTGGCACACACTAGAGGTGTTGGTTTCTCTGTAAAGGAAAGTTGAGGTTGCGTGATTTTGCTGTGGATGGAAAAGGCCCCTCCAATCATCAAATCGCCTTCTTTATACAGCAGAGAAAACTCTGGACTCCCCAGTATCTGACAAAGAGAAGTGTCCTCCGCGGTGCCATATGCTATTAGGAACACCATTAAAAGCAGCCCTGCTAATACTGGTGACATTTTCATGGTAATGGATTCTGATGGAGAAGAGCCACCCACCCGTATTAAGTGTGGCATTCAGTGTTGTTACTTACATAAGGGTTACCACATACCTATTATCCAATCAGAAACATGTTGGACTGTCTTGATTGGATCTTTTCGCATTATCATTTTGAATAATACATTACAGATTTAGTTATTTGTAAAAAAAAAAAAAAGCATGATAAGCTGGTAAGTTCATATTTTTTTAATTATTTTTTAACTAAACTGATTCTAAATTTCTTTAGTATTTTGATGTTTTCATTTCAGTTGTGATGGTACAGGGGTTGATACTGCACAGCAAGATTGTTGCAGGTTTAACATCCAGCAGTTTGTCTTGAAGGAGTTTGCATTTTCTCCTCATGTGTGCCAGTATGTGCCTGTTTCATAAAACATACTGCATATGCTAGGTTAACTGTTAACCCTAATTGCCATTAAGAGTGAGTGTTGAGCATGAAGGCTTGTCTCATTTGTCTCTATGAGGCCTGGTGATCTGTCCAGGGAGTACCCTGTCTCTTGCCCAATGACCACTAGAAATAGGCCCTAGCTCACCACAACCCTTTGCTGAAAAGCAGGTAAAATACATTTAAAGGAACAATGAATGAAAACCCTTGTACACTATGTGACAAAGATAATTCCAGGTTTAGACTTGGACATAAGGAGACATTTATTACATTTGGAAGCTTTAACATGTAAACTGAGTAAACCAGAATAAGTTAAATAAACTATAAATCAGTGTTGTTCTTCATGAAGTGATCAATAGTTCTCTTTATTGTCTTTTTAAATCATAAATCTGTCAGTCACTAAAGTTTTGTTTTCTTGATTGATTGATTGATTGATTGATTGATTGATTGATTGATTGATTGATTGATTGATTGATTGATTGATTGATTGATTGATTGATTGGTTGGTTGGTTGA